CCCCAAAACCCCAAAACCCCAAAACCCCATTACTCAAGAATAGAGGTCAAAAAGTATTAAATAATAGGGTAAAATCAAAAATATATATTTTTGAGAATAAATGATTATTTATCTTAGATATGAAAAGATAATGGATTAAGAGTTATTGCATTTCATTATCCCTAGTTATGAATAATCATAAGCACGAAACCCTCCTTGAATTCTTTGAGGTATTTACAACAAGGCTCTCTGGATTTCGAGACAGATTCTAATCAAATTAAAGTTTTTGACTTAGTTATACTGTCCTTCTACGGTAATCTTAGTCATTCACCAGTTACGGTATTCTCAGCTTAAATTTAATTGCTTTGTTACTTGATTCAGTAATTTAAAGCTTCTCATTTCTGGTATTTGCCTCATTATTTTGTTGAGGAAGCATACTACTATTACTTTTCTTCAATTTTAGTTCCTTTGAGAGATGGAAGTTATTCTTTTTATTGATAGGAGGTAGTCCTCTTTTAGAATTCTGTTAAAATTTCAATTATTATTAATCAGCTACTCTACTTTAGCTTTAGAAATCGTACAGACTATTCTTTTGAGAAATAATCTTGTCTAAAGTGCTTTTTACATTGTTATTTAATATCAATCTGTTCTTGTTCATCTTCTCTGTTGTGATTTTATCTGTCATGTTTCTAATTTTCTCTTTAATCCATAATTTCTACTATGATTTTTCATTATAGTCTTTGGACTCCTGGATCTCTTGAATACTTTAATTCTCAGGAGTAAAATCAAAGCTAAATATTTTGCCTTTAGATTTCTTGCTAATGCTTCTATCTGGAGAACCACTGAAAGGTGAGAAGTTTGTATTTTCGCCACTATTGTCAGCATCTAAATATAAATCATTTATAGCCCGGCTGTTTGTAATACACTCTGATTTTCTTTTTTACATCTTTAATGAAGATGTATTACAAAAGCTAGTCTGCTAGAAAAGATTTTCAAAGTTATTCAATTACGACGTTTATTATAATTTAATTGAATGCGATGAGAGCTACTAAGGATGAATTACTTGGCTTTGATTCCTCTAATGCTCTAATTTGTTATTTGGAATTGCTAATGATTAGATATTTCTCAAATATTTTCTAATCTTGAATTTGTCAATATTTTTTTTAAGTCTCATTTACAAATCATTATTAGGGGATCCAGTAGCAAAAAGTGGTTTAGGTGAATAATCATCTTAATCGGAAATCTATATTTAAGCAATCGAGACTCTATTAAGAGCTTAAAACTATTTGTCCTATTATAAGGAGACATCGCTTGGGCTTGTTATTCTTAATTTTTCTAGTTTCTTTGCCTTGCTTTATTCTTCAGGTTTAAGTTGATTATGAGTCAATTTTTATTGATTTTATAATTCTTGAATATTCATTGTAATACCAAAACTTTTGTGTTATACTTCTGAGTCTTCATTGAATAGTGAAGAAAATGTTTCGTGATTCTTTTTCCCTTCTAGGATTTTCGCCTTCTTTCTTAGTATAAACTGTTTAATAATTTCAGACTAGTTTTTATCGGTTCTTTTTATTCTTGGTTATTAACATTCTCCCTAGTCTGTTTCTAGTATATGCAGTTTATTATAATATGTATTAAAGATACTTCCATTCATATTTCTACTATTCACAGCCTGTTATTGTTCAATTTATATTTCTAATGGAGCTGACTTGATTGTGTCAACTAATTTCCTACTATTAGGCTAAATTTAGATCTCTGAATATGAATGATGAGTAAGAGCCAAAGGCTAGATGTCAGGAGATAAGAGTTATCGTTCCATCAATAAATATTTTAATTCTAATAATCTCAGCACAACTTAAGATGAAGTGACCTAAATTCAATTAAAATATTGCTTTATTTCTGAATAGCAATCTAAGCTGAATTAACAGCATCTGGGGTTTTGGGGTTTTGGGGTTTTGGGG